GTAGTCTAAGAAGACAATCACCATGAGGATTCCATTCCACTTCATGAGCTTTTAAACTCGAGAGGTGTACTGTGTATATGAAGACGTTAAGTCAAGATGTCAGCTGTGAAGTCAATTATTGTTCAAATGTTCGTTCCGGAACTGGGCTGCACAGTTAAACACGATCCTGATTTTATCGGGTTTCATGGGATGCAGCACTGCGTGATAAGGTAAATACCAGACTCGACCAAATTGTCCTCGAGAATCGCGTACACGAGTAGCATGTCCATCGGAAAAATAGACTTCCATCGCCTCGCAGTATTTTAGTTTCAATTTTGGATGCTTACTTAAATGATTCACGAGGGTTTTTAGACGCGACACAGCCATCTAGTGGTTGTCATGAAGGTGAGGACGTCGTTTCCAAGGGAGGGCGACCTCAAAGCGAGTGCCGCCAAATTTGAGAGATCTTTTGAATGCTGACAAAGCGGTTTTGTCGTCTAAGGACATTTCCTTGGCTCTCCTTTTCTTTGGTTCCTTGAATTCACTGTCTTACAGACGTTGTATTTGTCTCTCTAAATCGTTCACTGTCAAGGCATAACACCATTTCGTTGATGAACGTAAAGTTGGACCCATTAAGCTCCATCCCAGTGCTGTTTTGAGCGCGTAAGGCTCATCGATTTTTCCCAAACGCTGTTCTAATACCCAATGGGCCGCGGGAACATCAGAACCAATTAACAACTCTACTCGCATATCAAAGGTATGGGAAAATTTGACACTCCAGAGATACTCCCATGACTTTAATTCTTCCGTCGTAGGCAGAACTCTTTCCATTTTGGGAAGTCGGTTTATCGTCCAAGCTCTTTTTATGAAGATGGTGTTTGATCCGTCACAAGATTCGACCGAAAATGAAGCTTTAAACGCCGTATTTTTAGTGGTCCCGGAAACAGTGTTGATAGATAAGGACGTGCGTTTCCTTATTGATCCAAGTCGTTTCGCTAATCCTTCTTCGATCAAAGTGCTATTAGATCCGTTGTCAAAAAACGCCGATGTTTGAATAACTGTGTTTCCACATCGAACTCTGACTGAAATCACGCGCAGCGCAACGGCGTTTCCTTTCTCTACTTCTTCTTCCTTCATTTCATGGTGTACATTAGCCTCTTGCAGAGCGGGGAGGTCCGTTGACAAATGGAGTAGGACGTGATGGGCCTTTCCGCGATTCTCTGAAGTACATAGACGGCGATAACGACACGATTGAGTATTGTGATTTGGTTTCAAACATAAACGACATAATCTTCTCTCGTTTACGGCAGTAAGACGTTGTTCCGGAGACAACTGGAGGAACTTGGTGCACTGATCGATATAATGAACCTGTTTACACATGGGGCACCATATCTTTGGAGAACCAGCTAACATTTCGTCGTCGCTCTTCTGAATGGCCAAGATTGTAGATTTACGACCAGTATCGAACCCCGAAGTCCTTTGCTTCCTTGGTGATGAATGAGTGGTAACCAGAACACCAAAGTTTGAGTTCCTTATCTCGGATTGACGTTCGATAAATTCATAAAGGTGAGTAAACCGGGGTTCACCTTGTTTTGATGTCAAATCTGTGGCTACTTCAGTCTACTTGAGTTGTAAAGTCCTTGGCAATCGTCGAACAATACACTTCAACGTTCTGTAAGCATTCATGTCAGACTCGTAATTTAATTGCGTTAGTGTGGCCTCGCATACCCTCATCTGTTGAGCCATCGTCAGCAGACTCAGGTTGTCATTGATGAGAATAGGTGCTCCATCGGTAATACGGTTTATGAGAGCACCAGCAATCACGTGGTTTTGCCCGAAACGCTTCTTTAATGTTTCTTTGGCCCTTTTGTAACCCTCCTGACCATCTAAGATCACTAAGTCTTCAATGGCTTCCTTTGCTAGTACTTCACAAAACTGAATGAGATAGACCAACTTTGCATCATCTTCCATTGGGAGGCAATCCACTGAGGTTGAGAAGCAGCGCATGAATGACCAATATTTCAAGGGATCCCCTCGGAATTTTTGGATATCTTTCTTACGTAGGTCTGTGTGTAGCATCGGGCGTATAGGGCGAAATGATTCAGACTTGAAGGTCAATGAGTCTCTCCTCTGCTTCAGTTTCTCCAAATCTAGTTCCTTCTCCAAAGGGTTATGCGTAGTCTTGTTAACTCTATGTCTCTTTCAACGGTAGCTTCTTCAAATTTTTTCCTGCACATTCCTTAGGGTGCATTCGTATCATCACTATCGGACGTGTGTGATTCACCATTTGATGACATTTCGTAGGTGTCTCTATCTTGACAACTGTAAGCTCCGTGGATCTCCTTTAACGTAAATCTTATCTCGGTCTGATT